ATAAGACATCGATCTTGAGAAATTATCCATTCGTTAAATACTTGAAATATGTCGGTCGAGAGTAATACAAAATCTGAAATAAACGATATAACAATTTCCAAGCAACCAAATGAAAATCTATCTCGGAAAAGTGAAGATGAAACAACTTTGGAAAACACTGACGAGGAAACACAATCTGATGCTTTCAATCCAGATACCGGTGAAATCAATTGGGACTGTCCATGCCTGGGAGGTATGGCTAAGGGTCCTTGTGGGGAACAATTTAAAGCTGCTTTTTCATGTTTCATATATTCGAAAGCTGAACAGAAAGGAGCTGATTGCTTAGATGCTTTTAAAGAAATGAATGATTGCTTTAAAAAATATCCTGACGTGTACAAAACTGGTAACTTTTTTTCAAAAAAAATTTTTTTACAAATAGCTTCTTTTCTAACTTTTTGTTGGATAAAAATTTTATTTATACCGATCCAGAACACGACGATAATCTCGATGATCTCGATGATCTCGATAATAAAGAAGAATAGCAAGTGCGTACACTTTCAAATTTTTCAAAACTCTAAAAATAAAATTAAAATAACTTGTTAATTATGCAAGTATATAAATAAAAAATAATCATAAAAAGATATAAATTTAGATAAATAAATAAAAGCTAAAATTAATTAATAAGTTTTTGAGTTATAAGCCAAGCTCTTAGGTTGGAATTATTTTATTATCTCTTGTATATTAATTAATTTTAGTACTATTCAATTTATCTTATTAAACAAATTGAATAACATCAAAATTATCCAATTTTAATTATTAATTTATAAGATATTATATATTAAAGTTTGTTAAAAAATTATGCTTCTAATTTGAAATAGTGTTTAATTTGGTACAGATAATATTTATAGCAAAATATTATAATTAAAATTGTATAATTTTGTTGTTATTCAACTCATCTTAATAAGATAAATTAAATAATACTAATATTAGAGAGTTTCAAAGTTAATATATAAAAATCTTATTTTATTTTTTCAATTTATAATTCAATATACTGTAGTAAAAATGTTATTGAAAAAATCCTATTTATTTTTAAAATGCATTACTTATTTGTTAATTTTAAAGCTCTTTATTATTTAATTCTAATTAACATATTTTATAATATTTATTGTAAATATTATCTGTATTAAATTAAATATATCTATTTTGAGTTATTTAATTAAATAGTATATCTCAAAAACTATTAATTAAAATTATATAATTTGACACTATTAAGTTAATTTTAATAAAATAAATAAAATAATATTAAAATTATATAATTCTAATTATGCTGCTATAATATATAAATAAAATATTATTTATTATTTTATTTTCTTTACTAAGCTAGCTAAACCTCTCTATAATCACCTTTTATATAAGCATAGTTTCTTTATAAGCTTATTTTTTAAAAAACAAACAATTATTAAATATAATAAATTTGACCTTTATAATTAGCACACTTCTTTATAATTATACTTTTTTATATTCTGTGAATATAACTATAAAGAGGTTTGACTATATATTATATAATATTAAATATTTATTATATAGACAGTATTCTGAAAAAAGAGCCCAAATTAATAAAAAGTTTTCTTTACAAGAAATTAAATTTTTTTTTTTTCGGCAGTCCTGCTAACATTTTATTAGGCTTTATAAATTTTAATATATTAAATACAAAATTTTCAGGTGGCTATTCTATCTGATACCTAATTTATAAATATTGGTTGTTTAAAGAATACCTATATGCGACTTGCTATAGTGAGATTTTACCTTCTATTAGTTAACTTTGTTTCAGGCTAACTAATATATTATTGGATGGTTTTTACGGCCTATCAAGACTACAAGAAATCAATTATTTTATAAACTATTAATCAGAACTATATAATTTTAGTATTATTTGATTCATCTTGATAAGACAAATCGAATAGTACTATAATCATG